CGCTGCATGCGTTGCTTGCGCGGCGTATGTGCTTTTCCTCCTCCGCCTCCTTCCAGCTCGGTGCGTTGCCAGGAGCGCGTGCCGACCACGCCGATTCGGGAGCAGTCGGCTTGGTAGCGCCCTCGTGGCTCTTCGCTGCGGCATGGCACACCGCGCCGTTCGCCTGCTGGCACGCTTGGGCTGAGCATCGTTGCAAGATCTTGCCGATGTGGCCTGGCCAGTTTCGTAAGCGATATCCTCGGGATTCTGGGCTCCTGTTCGCGAGGTGGTCTGGCCCGCTTCGCCTGAGACATCCTCGCAACTCACGGGTGAGATATGCCCTGAGGTGGTCTGGCCCGTTTCGCCTGAGACATTATCGCAGGTCTTGGCTCGGAGGTGCCGCGCGCGAGGCGGTCCTGTCCGTTTCGCCCGAGACATCCTCGCAACTCCAGGCTCCGAGATGCCCTGACCTGAGGTCTGCTTCGCCTGGAACATCCTTGCAGCTCTGGGTCCGCTTCACTTTAGTCTTCGTGTCCTCGCAACTCCTGATCAGGAATGGTGCTGTCGCCTGCGCGACGGCCACTTCCCTGATCGGGACGGGTACTCTCGCTTCAGCGCTGGCCACATCCTTGATTGGGGATGGCGCTGCCGCTCGGGCGCCAGCCAAATGGTGCTCCCGCTCGATTGCTAGCGACATCCTCGAGGATGGTGCTGCCGCTCGAGCGCTGGCCACATGCCTGATTGGGAATGGTGGTCCCGCCCGAGCGGTGGCCACATCCTTGATTGGAGATGGTGATGCCGCTCGAGTGCCAGCCATAGCCCTGATTCGGAGCGGTGCTCCCGCCTGAGCGCTGGCCACAAGTTTATGCTGGGACGCTTATCGTCTTCATCTTGGAGGGGTTGTCCAGAGGTTTTTGCCGAGTAAGTCTCTCACAGGAAACGTGGCAGGGAAATCGGGCGACGAGGTGTATGCACGTGCGCCGATGTTGGGTTCAGGATGGCCCTGGCCACAACCGGTGTCCGTGCGTCGCCCTGCTGTCCGATCGGAAACCGACGGAGTCCATGGCCCACTGTCCTCGAGGACCTTTCTTCTTCCGCACTCCAAGAGAACGACCCTCGGGCCGGACGAAATGGGGGGATTGGGAAAGGGGGGGTTACGAAATTTGCTGCACGCAGCTGGTTTCGGCCTCACCGAGGGCCCATTCCTCGATGCATAGCCGCCTCCGGCGCCGGGAGGCGCCGGGAAAATCAGCTATATACGTGAGCTGATTCTCAAACCCCCCTTTGCTGCCCCCCCTTGTCGCCCGACCCGAGAACCCAAAGAGGCCAACGCCAGTGCACCCCAGGGCTCCCGGAGTTGAGTCGACGATTCGTCTCGAGCGTTTTCGGTTCAAGGCGGTGGTCCACCCCGCCCGATTTTCGAGGCCGCGGCATTGCCCCCCCCAGCCCGTACCGCTGGGCGTGCCTCCCGATGGCCTGAGTCCTACTCAAGGCCGCCACTGGAGGTCGTTCGCCCTGCCTGCTGGACCCGGTCCTCGTCCCGCTGGGCCTGGACAAGTTCTGGACCAAGGCGGCGGAAAGCAAGCAGGAGCACGGCCCATGCCAATCGCCGCCGGCCGCGGCCGGCGGGAGCCCCGCGGGCTCCGGCGCGTCCGAGGAGGCTGCGGCGGCAGGGCGCAAGAAGTAGGAGCCAGGGCTGGCATCCCGTTCTTCGTGGCGGGCTCCACCAGGGGAGCGAAGAATGGCATAAGCACAAAGACTCGGAGGTCCGCGCGGATTTCTCGGACCGGCTCTAGACCCCCCTCCCTGGCGCGCGGAGCGCGCCAGGGGCGGCGCCGGAGGCGCCGCCAGGAGGCCCCAGCGCGGATCCGAGAAATCCGCGCGGACCTCCAAGCTTTTATGTTCATGTCATTCTTCGTTCCCCTATCAGCACATACTTCTGAGGCGTAGCCGGATCGCGTGACAAGGTGGCCAGCATGCTAATGCTCGCCTCTGCTTTGAAGGTATCCGCCCCGTCGACGAGGTGTTTGATCCTCACCAAAACAAGCCAGAGCTTATACCATTCTCCTCTCGCAGTGCACACTTACCATCTCATCATCCGTCCTGGACTGGTGTCGCCCCCTCGCCCTTCTCGTCGCCTCCGCCGTCGTCGCCGCCCTCGTCGTCCTTCCCGTCGCCGCCCGCGCCCCGTGCTCGACAATGCGCGCGGTCGACGCGCACAGGCGTCAGATTGGGGCAGTAGTCAGACGGCAACCGACCAGAGACGGCAAGTGGGTGATCTCAACCTTCTCTAAATGCAAACGTGCGCCACACTGTGGGCCCCAGCCGGCCCTGAGATGGCGACCGCGCCTCTAGCAGGCGTCCATCGAAATCGGTCGCCACCGAACTCTCCGAGCTGTCTTCGCTATCATCCCCCTCCTCGTCGGCGCCTCCTCAACGTCGTCCTCGTTCCTCGTTCTCGTCGCCCTCCTCGCCCGTTCCTCGTCGCAGGAGCCGCCGCCGCCCCGCCACCCCTCTTCAGCGCCTGCTGGCCCGAGCTCTCTAGCTTGGAGCCCCCCGAAGATCGTCGGCGACGGCAACTGGCCGGCTCACCGATCCTCTCCGGGCCGATCTTGGGGCCAGTACAGTCGGGGCGCTGAGGAAGGAACCCTTTTCGTTGGGGAGGGGCTCGGTGTTCCTTAGTTGTTTTGCAGTTCGCCCTTGGTTTTGCTTAGGGTTTCGATGGGAAATCGAAGTTTAACTTACTGGAAAAAGGGGCCTCGTTCCTTATTTAGGGTTCCTTAGGTCAAAACCCCGACTGTAGCCGGTGCCCACGCCTCCCTGGCCGAGCCAGGAGGGGCTAGACACCGATCCTGGGTCTGCAGTGGAAAACCATGCCAAGAAGCACCCTGCTTGCCTCCAGGGTGCCCTGGGTTTCTGCAGTTTCGATGCTTGTGCTGTGGAGTACGTAACGATACGTGGCGCTCCCACACCAGAAGTCAACGGACGTCCTGGGGTTCCAGGGTTCGGTTTCGTGCGGAAGGTTTCTGGTCGAGCCCCTACTGTAGGATGGGCCTGGCCAGGATCGTTTAGGTGGCCGGCTGACGCTGTCCGACCAGGCGGGCGGGGTGGCTCAAGCCACTGCGGCTCAGGGGCTGCCCCCCCCCCCCCCCCATCCTCCTCCCTCCTCCTCCTCCTCCTCCTCCCTCCTCTCCTCCTCCTCCTCCTCCTCCTCCTCCTCCTCCTCCTCCTCCTCCTCCTCCTCCTCCTCCTCCTCCTCCTCCTCCTCCTCCTCCTCCTCCTCCTCCTCCTCCTCTCCTCCTCCTCCTCCTCCTCCTCCTCCCTCCCTCCTCCTCCCTCCTCCTCCTCCTCCTCCTCCTCCTCCTCCTCCTCCTCCTCCTCCTCCTCCTCCTCCTCCTCTCCTCCTCCTCCTCCTCCTCCTCCTCCTCCTCCTCCTCCTCCTCCTCCTCCTCCTCCTCCTCCTCCTCCTCCTCCTCCCTCCTCCTCCTCCTCCTCCTCCTCCTCCTCCTCCTCCTCCTCCTCCTCCTCCTCCTCTCTCCTCCTCCTTGCCATAGCCAATTCAGCTGCAGACCACCATGCAAAGAAGGCGCTCATGTCGCAGTCAGGTGCGGACCCTTCTTTCCTCTCCTCTGTCAACCTCGCCCTCGAGAGAGTAAGCTATTTTGTGAATCTCGCGACTGCAGTGCTCCCGTTGTTCAAGAATGATCTCAGATGGCCACGCCCCCCAAGAGCCCCAAGGCGGGGACGATCCTCGCGAATGATAGAATGGCACTGGTGGGAGGACGGGCCTGCTGGATTCCATTGCAGTCGTTGTTTCCGTTTAGGAGGGAATCAGAAGTCTCAGTTAGATCTTGCTGGGTGTGTAGGCGCACCACCCCGCATAAGTAAGCTTCTCAAGGACCCCCAGGGGCACCTCGTCGCTGCTGGACTGGCTCGGAATCCTGTCTCGGCCGACGTCGTTTGTGCGGCCCCTGAGAAGCAAAAGTATGTCTGTTTAAGATGTGGTGGATGGTCCCAGGGTCGTGCTTTGAAATTGGCTGGCCCCTGTATGCCCCCCACCAAGAAGGGTACGGAGGTTATTAACAATTTCAGACAAGGGAAACCTCCGAATCGGAAGTGCCAGGAGCTTCTTGGCCCTGCTGTCTCTCTTTGCTAGCTCGGTCCCAGGAAGCCGTTGGAGATTTCCCTGAGTTGCAGTTTGCCCGACTCTACGGTGGTGAACGTTCCTTCGGCTACAGGGGCCGCCCCTCCTTACGAGGTGCGGATGGCAGCTCTGATGGAGAGAATTCGCGACAAGGCAGTTTCAGCCAGTCGCAAGTAACGTGAGACTAGCCCACGATTTAGTGCTGTGCACTCTTCCCGTCAGAGCATTTCATTCACTCATTCATTCATTCCTCCTCCTCGTCCTCCCCCTCCTCCTCCTCCTCCTCCTCCTCCTCCTCCTCCTCCTCCTCCTCCTCCTCCTCCTCAGGGCGCCTCTTCTTATTTCAATACGTTCCTTGGCCCCCCCCCCCTGTGCCGCGCACGTGCCGCCAGGCATGATTTGCACCCCCCCCTCTTGGACACCCCCCTCTTGGCCGCTCCTGCTACACCATCCCTCTTTGCTCCTGCCGCGGTGGGTGTGTTGCCTGGGCTGTTGGGGCAGTTCAACACGGGACTGTCGCGCTGGAGTTTGGCAGTCCAGGGGGCGGTACGTTTGGGGGCCATTTTCGTATCCTTCGCCATCGGGCTTCTCTGTGCTCCTGCTCTCTCCCTCCTTCTCCTCCCTCTTTTCTCCTCGCCTCCTCCCCTCCTCTCTTCCTCCTCTCCTCTCCTCTTCCCTCCGTCTTCCTCCTCTCCTCCTCTCTTCCTTTGTTTCATTATCATTATAAGTAGTGCTATGCTTATTATTAGTATGATTTGTATTATTATGTTTATTATTCTTCTTCTTCTCATCATTACTATTATTATTCCTCGCTTCTCTCGGCGCGGCGCGCCTGGGCCCAGTGGCTTCTTCTCTGTGCGCCGCCGGTCTCGCCCAGGCCAGGCTGTGCGGCGCTCGGGGTTCGCCCGGCGGCTGCCTGACGCCCGGCAGGCGCGCTCGGCTCCGACGTGTCGCCCCGCCCGAAGAGGACGAGGCATCTCCTCCTCCTCCTCCCTCCTCTCCTCCTCCTCCCTCCTCCTCCTCCTCCTCCTCCTCCTCCCTCCTCCCTCCTCCTCCTCCTCCTCCTCCTCCTCCTCCTCCTCCTCCTCCTCCTCCTCCTCCTCCTCTTCCTCCTCCTCCTCCTCCTCCTCTTCCTCCTCCTCCTCCCCCTGAACGAGGCGCCGCGCGCGACGCGCGCCGAGCACGGGGGGCCCAGCGCCGGGCCAACAACTCCACGCGGAGCTCCGAATCTTGGCAGCCTCGAGGCGCCCGTCTGGACACGCGGCACGCGCCGTGCTCAGAGCCTCCGTGTCGATGCGCTCCGCGCTCGGCTTTCGGCGTAGTGGCCCCCGTTCATCAGAGCGTGAATTACCTACCCCGCTTTCGCTTCCAGGCAAAACCAAGCCATTCCACGCGCCTCCTCGTCAAGCGGCCTGACCAGTACAGGCCGCAGTTTGGCATCGCTTGGTGTCTCCTGGAAGCGAGGGTGGTCAGAAGCGAGGCAGGTTTGTTTCCCCCCTTAGTTCGGGCGAACGTCTCGCGCCAGGCCTGCGCTGTGTCAGTCTGCGTGTTGAGCTCCCGTGCCACCACGCTGCGATGCCGCGTGCGGCGTGCCGCGGGCCGCTGGGCTCCGAGGGTGCCGCTGGTCCTGCCGCGCCTCTCCGCTGCTCTGCCGGAGAGGCCCCCCCCCCCCCCCCAGCGGGGAGCCTCCCCACGCGCGCGCGGAGGCTCGAGAGCCGCGCGCGCGCGCGGAGCGCGAAGGGGGCGACGCAGGGTTGAGTCGGGCGTGTCCCTCTACGGGAGGAGTGCTGAGAACCAGTCAAGACATCGTCTGGGGAGGACGTTGCTTTTCTGGTTTGACCGTGCTTGAGAATGGTTTGGCTGGGGAGGACGTTGCTCTTATGGTGGGGACCGTGTTTGAGAATAGTTTGGCGATGCTGATTCGTTCCTCCGAAGTCCGCCTGTAGGAGGACATGCCCAACCCAGACGTAGGGCTGCGGCGCGGCCCCCGCCTCGGCGGCTCAGGGACGGGGCCCCTGGGGACGGGGCCCCGGGGGTGGGAGCCTTGGCGTGGGGGTCCTCCTCCTCCTCCTCCTCCTCCTCCTCCTCCTCCTCCTCCTCCTCCTCCTCCTCCTCCTCCTCCTATTATTCTTCGCTGCCGCGATGCGCCTGTCTTGAAACGCAGCACGCGCCGTGCTCAGAACGTCCGCGTCGATGCGCTCCGTGCTGGCTCAACGCATTGGCCCACGTTTTGGCGAACGTGTCGCGTCAGACCTTCACCACCCACCAAGCCACCCCAGCCCAACCCAAAGGCTTCCACGTGCCCTCCATTTCCAGAGGGGGGGGGGGAGGTCGGGGAACATGGAACAACAAAAACAGATGGACCCCCCCCCCAACCCGAAATCTGGGTCTTCGGGTTGGGTTGGGGTGGTCTGGTAGGCAGTCTGCGCTCCGCGCTGGCTCAACGAATTGGCCCACGTTCTGGCGAGCATGTCGCGCCAGACCTACGCCAACGCGCTGCGTGCTGCGTATTGCGTGCTGGGCTGCGTTGGCAGTCTGCGTGTTGAGCTCGGACCAACGCGCTGCGTGCTGCGTGCTGCACAGCGGGGCGGCCAAGATGGGAACGGGCCCCAGCCTGAGCTTGCACTGCCCGAGGCCCCTCCTTGGCGGCGAGCGAAGGGGGGAAGTGTTAAGTCGGGACATGTCCCCCTACAGGAGGAATATTCAACATTAGTAAAACAATAGTCGGGGGACGATTTTTTAGTATGTTTGACTGTTCTGGACTATGTTTGGCATATTCTTTATTTTTCGTCCAAGATCCGCCTGTAGGGGGACATGCCCGACCTAAGGGAAGTGGGAAGGAGAAGGCCTGATCAGAAGGCGGCGGGGCTTCTCAGAAGCCTGCCAGCCTCCCGAGGAGTTCCTCGTGCCTTCGGGGGAGGCTTGTCGAACACTCCTCGGAAGGCCGGGGGGGAGACTTGCCGAACCTGCTGCTTGGGAGCCTTCTCCTGCTCACTCCCCCCCCCCCCCTCACCGCCCACCACACCACCCCAGCCCAACCCGAAGGCCCCGAGTTGCCCTGCATTTCCAGGGGGGGGGGGGGGGGGAGGGGGTCGGGGAACACCGAAAAAGCACGCGTGGAGCCCGTGCCCCCCCCCCAACCGGCAATTCGGGTCGTCGGGTTGGGTTGGGGGTGCCCCTGGCAGGTGGGCCCCCCTTCGCCCTCGCCGCGCCGGCGGCCCTCGGTCACGGCACGGCCCCGAGGCCCTGGCGGCGCCCTTGTGGTTTGGCCCTCGGGCCCGGCGTTTTTGTCAGGGCATTTTCTTGGAGTGGAGGGCTCGGGGTGAAATCCGTATGGGCTTTTGCACCTCGAGAATCAATCCGTCATGTGATTCACCGCTTGCAGACTCGAGCCTCGAAGATCCATCGAAGCGGCATTTCAGATTTCACCCTTTGCCCTCCACCCAAAGAAAATGCTCCGTTTTTTGCTCGCCCTGCTGGCAGGTGGATCCCTCAGGCTCTCCGCCGCCTCTGGCGCTATGTTGCTCCTCCCATCGTACTTAGGGGCCACATCCCAGAAATAGTTTCGAGCATCCGGGAAGGTGTCGAAAGAGTGTCGAAAGAGGGTCGGAGCAGTGTCGGACGAGTGTCTCCCAGGGCCCGACACGTGAAAACCCTAGAATTTCGGTACTTCCTTGGTGCTCGAAGTTCTTTCTCGCGATCAGGGCTAAAGTAGGTTGGAACATCTGTAACCTTGGCGGTGGCGTTGCTGCGTTCGTGCTCGCAGTGCGCACCGCCAGAGGCGGCGGCGAGCTTGACAGGTCCACCTGCCAAAAGTACATGACCCCGAGGCCCTGGCGTTAAGTCGGGCCCGTCCCTCTACAGGAGGAATATTTAAAAATAGTAAAAAGATCGTCTGGGGACTATTGTTTAGTTTGTTTTGACCATTTGGGGGTATTCTTGAATATTTTTTATTTGTCATCGAAAATCCCCCTGTAGGGGGACACGCCCGACTTAACCCTGGCGGCGCCTTTTTGTTTGGCCTCAGGCCCGGCGTGTTTTCGTGTTCGCCCGGCTCTTCGGGCCCCGAGGCCTCCACGGATCGGCCAGTGTCTCGCGAGAGAGAGGGAGAGACATGCCGCAGGAAGACGTGGCTTGGGGCTAAGTCGGGCCAGTCACTCTACAGGAAGAATATTCAAGAGTAGTCAAAAAATGCTAGGGGGACGATGTTTTGACTTTTTTTTGTTATTTTTTTGGTTCTTTTGAATATATGTTATTTCTCGTGCAAAATCCGCCTGTAGGGAGACACGCCCGACCTAAGTCTAGGGCTCCTGCCGTGATTCTCCACGACGTTGCATGCGTTCCGCTCGAAGGAGAAAAAGCTGCACAGACAAACTGCTGGTGCTCCGTGCGGAGCGCCAAACGTTTATGTCTATGCCGTTGTTTCTTCTTTATGCGCGACGCCAGATCTCAGGGGCACAATCAACCCGCAGAGTAAGGATTGGCAATATTCCCAAGGGCACCCTTGCATCCTTCGACCCATCCTTGGCCACTTTTGTTGGCCAACCTCGTTTGAAAAACGTTAACGTGGCCTCCAAGGTCCTTGGCCACTTTCGTTGGCCAACCTCGCTCGAGAAACGTTCACATGGCCTCCAAGACCCTTATGCATCCCTACCGCGCATCTTTATGATACTGGCCGACTGTGCGTCACTGTCCCTCAGGGCCCCATCTCTGACCCGCCCCGCGCCGGCCATCACGTCGCGGCGATGCCCCGGGCGGCCGGCGAGCCGAAGAGCTTCGCCAAGGGGCTGCTCGCGCACCTGATCCTGGCGCCACCGCCGGGCCTCGGCCGTCGCCGCTGCCGTGGGTCACTGCCTGCCGTGTGGCTGTCGTCGTCTAGCCCCTCCTCGGCCTCCTCTCAGGGGAAGAAGAGGTACCCAGACCTCTACCCTTCCCCCGTTGTTCCCCTTCTTGGGCCTCCTGGGCGGCCCTCGTCGCCAGCGCTGGATTCGCTGCAACATTCTGGTCAGAACGCACCCCACCCCGGGAGAGGTCCTGGGAGCAGCGGCATCGGTATTTTATGGTATCCTCAAACATTGAAGCGATACAGGGAAGATTGGCATGGCTCCTGCGCAAGGATGACGCGCGCAAATCGAGAAGGGCATACAAGTGTTTATGCTATTTCCACGTTCGCTTCCCCGACCCAGTCCTCTCGCCATGGGGCAAAGGGGTCCTCAGGTTTTTCGCCGTTGTTGCTGGGCCGCCTGAGGCCTTCCACGGGCCCCGGGGCTGTCAAGAAACAACTCGGGACGAAAAGCTTGTCATGGGGAGCCGCCCCCAGGTCCACGACGCGTTTCGCTCAAGATTCGCATGTTTCATGCCAGTCCTCCTCCTCCTCCTCTTCCTCCTCCTCCTCCTCCTCCTCCGCATCTTCGTCCTCCTCCTCCTCCTCCTCCTCCTCTTCCTCCTCCTCCTCATGTTTGCCATCCTTTTCCTCCTGGTTTTCCTCCTCCTCCTCCTTCTTCTATTACTTCCGCAACCATTTTGGCTCAAGATGTTGGCTCCCTGGGGGAACCTAGTGGATACTGTTGTTCCGCGGTTTGCCTTCAGTCTCTTCCTGGTCACTTTTCTCGGCAGCGCAGGCTGCCAAGTGTTGTTCTTTTCTCGGCAACATCCAAAGGCAGCCGCTTGATATCGTGGCGCTTGGCTGCGTGCTGCTGCTATTGCTTGCTGGAGTGAGTGGTTCTCTTTGGGGGCACCGCGACCACGTCTCCGGACAACATACCTGATATTGTCCGCCGCAAGAAGAATTTGCCGTCCCACAAAACACAAGGGCCTCTTCCTCCCGACGAAGCCGCATGCTGCTGATGGATTCATGGAGAATTTGTGTAGACGATCTTGCTCGATCAGTCCTTGAAACGTGCAGCGATCCTGGACGGAGAAGTGATGTCGGAGTGAAGCGACTTGTTGTACACTTCGGAGAAACGCACGTCGTCGTAAATGCCAAACAGCATGGCGGTGTCGTGCGGGCCGTGTTCCTCCTGGGGGTGATGACGATGTGCGCTCCAAGTTTGGTCGTCTGTTTCACGCACAGATGGCGACAGCGAGCAAGACGACTGGCATGACAGCCTTGGCAAGGAACTGGTCCGCGCCCACGCTCGCGAGTTCTTGGGAAGCTTCAAACAAGAGTGCGGGGAAAAGTTCGGAGCCTCTGTTGAGGGCGCTGCCTCTGCTGCCGCGGCCCCCATCGACCTCGCCCTCAAGCAGCTCAGCGACGCGCTCTCCAATGCGCCGGCCAATGCAGCTGCCGCCGCTTCCGCAAGCATTCGACAACATTCAGAATCGCCCGCATAAGCATGTGTATACTTCAGGATCAGGAAGGAGCTTGCGCTGGCCTAGCGCGGCCCCCTTCCCCCGAAGCCCAACGACCGCACTTTCAAGCGGGACATCGACCCCGCGATCCTCAAATTCATCGCGCCCGACTTGGCGACATAGCCCAGAAGGAAAATGCCGCGTTGTCTCTGGGAGCCTGGCCCACCAGCGCGGACCTCGAGGATGCGTTCAAGGTGGGGCCGGTCGAGGCACAAGTGGTTGTGGTTTCAAGGAGGGCCCAGCATGTCAAGGGGGGCCTTCCACTACACATGGGTGGACCATATCCTGCGCTCCCATCAGTGGACGGCCCGACTCTACAGCTGCACGCGGGACCTGCCAAGTCTTCTTTCCAAAACCGCATGGAATCCACGGCAAGAAGTACGCCAGCAAGCCTCGGAATGAGCTCGGCGATAAAAAGTTGTTCTGTCGGTCGAAACAATGGATATCTCTCAGAAAGCTGGGCGCCCTTGTTTCGGCTGGCCCCCAGCGCCGGCAGGGAACCGACAGCGGTCTGTTGGAACGACAAAGGCTCGGTAGAGAAACATCTTGCCTGACGGCGGAGTCTCTGGCACATCGAGCCCATCGTCTCCCCGGCGCGCAATCTAATATTGGCGTCGTTGACAATTTCACGGCTCGTCAGCACAGCGCGCTAATCGGGCCGCGGGCGCCCCAGAGGTTCGGCGGGGCTCTTCGGAGCCGACGTTGGCGTTTGGCCCAAGTCAGGCGCGCCCCTCTACAGGAGGAGCATTCGAAAATAGTGATGAATATTATGGGTGCGATTTTTGATTACATCGATATTGCAATTATTTTTCATTTCTGCTCCAACATCCGCCCTCAGGGGGACGCGCCCGACCTGGCGCGAGGCGCGTGGAACGCCGGGGCTTCGCTCAGATGGCGCGTCGCGGTGGCCCTCGAAAAGGCGGGCATAGCATGGCGCTGCGAGGCGGCCCGCGCCTTCCATGCGGTTCAGGAGGCGCGACTGACCAAGGGCCATATCAAGGCTTTCTTGCAGCGCGATGCGCCATGATCCAAAGCTTCCTGAAGCGCCACGCGAGCCATGCCAATTCTTGTTCTCGCGCGGCAAAGCGGGAGTGGCAACGGCCCCGCCTCGCTCGGGCGACGCTGCGAGGTCGGCGACGAAGATGCTCCGGCGAGGGAGGCGGCCCTCGAAGTCGCAGCGAAATCAGGCCCTGCCGAGCTGCGCCACTGCGATGCCCACGGCCATGATCTTTCGGATAGACCAGTGGCCAGCAATCGTTGCGCCCTGCAGCGAGATACTGATTGGGCAAAACAGGGCCCATGGTCTCGGCGCCTGATTGTGGCGGGAGGGCATGAACTTGGCATGAACTTCACACTTCGCCTCTTGCAGCAAGTTGGACGCGCTGCAACCGCAGTGGAGAAACTCACGCAGCGCGCGCAATAACTCCGGTTACTTCGCGGCGAAGGGGGAAGTTGTTTTCGATTCGCCTGTCGATTTCTCGGTGGGCGCCCCGGCCAACTTCGGCAGACGCGATGGCAAGTTCGTTGCCGATGGCGTTCTCGCGGGATGGCCAGGGAAAACCGGCCCGCCAGGAGCGGCCCTTCCGCCGCGGCCAGCGGCGCGGGTCGGAAGGGGCCGACCGCCCCCGCCCGCGCCGTTGCCCAGGCAGTCGAAAGGGCCTTCTCGCCGCTGGGCGGGCGGGAACTCCATCGCGAAGATGGCGGGGTGCACGCGTCGCAAAGATCCCCCCTCATCGCTGGAAGACGGCCACTCATCCCAAGAGCCCTCGAACACCCAGTCTTCGCCGTCAGCTCGGGCCCGATCCAGCCAAGACCAGAGAGGAAAACGGGGCCGCGGTCCCGCCCCGAAAAGGCAGGAAGGCAGGGGCGAGGCCGCCGGCAGAACGGCTGCGGTCGGACGAAAAGGACATGGACGAAGACGCAGTGGGCGAAGAGGAAAGCGCGCGCCCGGCACGCGCGAGCAAGGCTCTCGAAGGCGTTGCGGGTCGCCGCCGCGCCCTGGCCGAGAGGGGAGAAAGGCCAGTGGCTCCACCTCCGCGCAGTAGCTGGCACCGCTGCCGCAGGCTTCGCTCTAATCCGCCCGGATGGTATAGCTGACGCCTTGGCGCTGATGATTGCTGGCCCCGCCGCCTCCAACAACGCGCCCTTCGGCGCCCGGGGCCCGCGCCGGATGATGTCGTTGTGGAGGCGGGCGCGGGGCGCGGGGCCCAGCGAGTCGATGTCCGGTCGAAGGTTGCCCTATAGCTGGCCAACGGGCCAGCGTCGAAGTGCATCCTGCTGCCGGCGCGCGCCATGGCCAGAGCCCCGCGCAAAACGCGGGCAGACCTGTAAATCAAGCAAATTCACGCGACAACTTTCGCGGCCTAATTAAAGCTCGCGGAGTGGTTGGTCCAAGATGCACTTCTCTGCCCCCGCGCGGTAGCGGGCTAGGTCGCCGCGCTGCTTGCCGCGAGCGATGAGCGCCGGCGTGATCAGCGCGGCTCGGACAAGGGCCCTGGCCGAAAGATAGGGGCCACCCCGGTCGTGGAGGGCGCAATCCAAGAGCCGAGACGCGCCTCCTGCAGGTCCGCGCAGCCTCGCAAGCTGGCGCATCTCATCTCTCAGGAGCTTGATCGGAGGCGGGGCCAGCTGCGCGATGTTGCCGGGCGGTGGTGGCCCTCGTTGCACAGAGAAGCACCGGTGCTCGAAGGTGCGGTCGTCGTGGCCAGCACCGCCGCGCGCGTTTTGAACGCGCATATAAGCTGCCTGCCACGCGACCACTTGTGACGACGCAAAACCATCCAGACGCCCAAAGCGCAGCGGCGTGTCCGCGACGGCGAAGTCGCTCCACCTTGGCGCGCTTTGGCCGGCGATGTCGGGGGGCGTAAAGGTGGGGCAATGGCACAGGTGGAATTGAAAAAGGAATCGTTCCAGACGGCCCCTGGAAGAATGAATTGCGTTATGCGCGAGCCGCCGGCTGGGCCCGCTCCCCGGCCACACCATGGGATGGTCCTCCTTTTAATCTTGGCCCAATGGAGTCGATGGGGGGCTGCGCGGCGACGGGGGCGCGCGCCCGCGAACATCTGCGCCAAAGGGGGTGGCCCCCCGACCCGTCGCGCACGAGGCGGGGCGAGCACCGCGCGTTCATCGGCGCCGTGGCGGAGAGAACCCCACTCCAGCAACTAGCTCTGGATCCTGATGCACATCTGCCTCAACATCTGCAGGGCAATGCTCTTGCAAAAGACGCGCTGCTCGGCGACGGGGGCCTCATTGGGCACGGAGGGGGCCCCGAGCACTCGATCGGCAGCTACTCCGCGGCGCGCGACAACCTCGGCGTCGACGGGGGCGGGCGCCCGCGCCCCGCCGCCGCCGACGTCGCGCCGATGGGCGGCGCGGGGCCTGCATTGGAGGGAACTCTCGCGCCTCTCGAGGACGAGATCATGGATGACGAAGACTTCGGCTGCCACTTTGGCCTTAG